ACCACCTGGTTGTGGGAAATGGACAGTGGCCTCTGAACCCTCGTCTCTCTCTCAGGACCATCGGCCTGAGCCATGAGCATGCATGAAGCTGGCCGGAGGCCCCACGAGGGCGGGCGGAGCGTCGCCCGTGGATTTGATGGGAGCAGGTGGTAGAGCCACGTGCTGAACATAAAACATCTCAGGTGTGGCCCTGGCCACACACACCACCCCCCCGCCTCAAAATCAAGATGGGACACAGGTGACCTCGATGATCGAAAACAATCTCGGGACCCCCTATTCTCAAGCCAGGGACCGAGAGTCCGCCTGTCCCCCGGCCCAAGTGGCCACGTCCTCTCAATTCCTAGGGTTCTTCTGCCCTGAAAGGCTAGAGATGTTAGAGTTCCATGTTACGTGGCCCATTTGTTTCAAGGCAAGCCAATTCCCTTCGGGGTCAGTCGCAGCCCGGGGCAGAGCCCACCGGACACGAGCTGGATGAAACTCAGCCCCTCCCCGGCCTCCTGCCGCACGGTCCCCATGGCTCCCAGAACAAGCCGGGCCTTCCAGGGCTCAGCCGGCTCCCGCAGCCCCCCGCGCCCACGGTGCGGGGAGCCCACGCCGCCCTCCAGGGCCCACTGGGCGTCGCCCCCCAGCTCCTGGGCCCTTGCTGACCTCCCCCAGGATAGCCCTGCGCCCTGGGTCCAAGGAGAATTTGCATTTGCCTTCACAATCAAGACCCATTTTATAAATCCTTCCAAGGCTTGTTTCTCTCCTGCCTCTGCGAGCCTGCTTCACCTGGCATGGCTTTTTGCAGCCGAGGGCACGCCTGTGCGACCAGGTACACACACGATCGTTTGCAGACAGTGAAGGAGGCCTCTTAGGAGTCCCCTGCGGGGAGTTAGGCTTGCATGGAAAGCACCAGGGGAAACCACTCACGCCTGACGCCTGGGCCCGCCCCCTCGTGGGCTTGGCTGCATCCTGGGATCCCCCGTTTACTGGAAACAGTCAGGCGAGGTGAGGAGACCCCTGCGCAGTGTTCTGCTGGCTAACTTCAACCCCAAACACGGCAGGGCACAGCCGCTTCTGCCTTAAATAGGCATCCTTAATGCCATTGGAAACGAAGAGAAAAAGAAAGGAGGCCCTGTCTTGATACAATACACGCATTGAAACCTGCTTCAGGAGACCACCCACAGTGCCAGAAAGAAGGGGTTCTGCCAGTGAACTTAAAGCTTGTGTCTTTCGGAGGGGCCGGTTTGAAAGCAGCCATAAATCACGCCAATGCCCAGGCTGCCGCGGGCAGGTTAGGAGAGGACCGAGCCTGGCCCGCTCAGGCTCTGCGGCGGGACCCTGTGACCTTCCTCGGGCCGGACCGTGACGTCAGCAGCCGCACCGCCTGCTGCGGGCATGGCTCAGTGTAATTAATTACATCTTAGAATCACACACCAGGCCTTGCTGAAAGTTCTTAGATACAATAGACCAAAGGACACATTTAAGCTGTACTTATATGCTTTATGTATCTTCCCCAGTTCAAATGGGACAAACTCAGGATGACAAGCAGCCAATAGCAACGAGACTTTCGTAAGAGTGGTAATAATGAAAATCGGCCGTTTGTGTGACCGTGGAGCCCTCAGACCTCCCGTCAGGACTCGCAAAGCTGAGTCCCCGTCTCAGAGCCAACGGCCCGGCCCGTGAGCCCGGCCACCTGCGCGGCTGGCGCGGCGGCAGGAGGGGAGGGAAGCCGCTGTCCCCCCTCGGGCACAGTGTCCTTCAGCACCAGACTCACCAGCTGAGAGAATATGGTGTCACTTTCAAATAACCCATTTTTTTCCCCCAAGAAGTGTAAAATCCCCTCTCTAAACCTAATGGCTTTTTGTAGGTTCCTGAGGGGAAGAAGGGAGAAAGCGGTTGCGCGAGAAGGGGGGTGAGAAGTAGGAAGGAAAGAGGAAACTCGTGCAGCGTCCAGTGCTGCGCCGTGGGTGCCTCTCCCTCCCCCGCCCCGCCCCGCCCCCACCCTGCAGAGGACACCCTGCGGCCCTCCGCAAAGGATGAGTATAAAACGGCATCTTCCACTCGGAACTTCCGCCTTTGTGTCTTAAAATGAAAGGGGGGGCGGGAAGGGATCATAATACAATCTTGCTACCAACGCTCTTCAAATAACTCAAAGTGTTTTCAGTAGCTCAATGCGTCAGAGAAATATCACCAGGTCACTAGGTGGCAGGGATTTCAAATCTCCCCCCGAAAGCGTACGGGGCTCGGCGGGTGGCCCTCCCGTGACAGCGGCAGGCGTGCGCTCACGCCACCTGCCCCTTTCTCACTGGACGCGCAAACAGGGGTACCAGGTAACAATTTTATTCACAAATAAAAAAAAAGGCTTTACAAAACTATTCATATAAGAAAACTCCAGTATGCAAAGCAGTAACAATGAAATCTAAATTGAGTCAAACTGACTACCTTAAAGCAATAAGGGATTTTTTTTTTTTTTTACTAGCATGGACAGTAAGTAGTGCTTAGCCTAGGTAACAGCAACATTAACACTTTCTCTAATGTAGAAAAATTTGTATTTGAAAAATATATTCCATGTACACAAAATAAGAAAACCCTCGCCTCGACGCAGCGGCTCTTCAAACCTTCGTCTCATTCCCGCCGCCGAGTCTCTGCAGCAGGAAACGCCGCGAGCCCGGGCGCGCCCCGCCGGCGCTGCTCCGTGGCCGGGGCACCAGCACCCTCGCGGCGAGCCGTCGGGGCGCTGGCGGGAGGGCGTTCCAACAATGTGAAATGCACAGCGGGTTCTTCCTGAAGTGTTTACAAAGAGTGTAGAATATAACACTGTCCGTCCCTATAGTCGGTGGGGGTAGAATGTCTTCATCTGGATTTTAAAAACAACAAAACGGGATTTTTCAAATGCACTATCAAATCAAATCAGCTTTCGACCCTAAGTATGTCTCTGCTGATCGAAAGTGATGTGTCAGGACTTTTGGCCAAAGTCCCATCCCTGTCAACCCGGCTTTCTCCTTCCAGCAAGTATTCGTCTCTAAGTGAATGAAGGCTCCACGTAGGGAAAACAGAGTCAGGTTACCAAAAGGAGCACAGCCCCGGCCTCCTTCGCTCTCCCCCTGGTTGGAGCAGAAACGACCCCATCGCAGGCAACGGTGCCCGCGTGGATCACTGCGAGGCCACCCTGCTTGCGTGTTCACAAACGTCTTGTGGTCACATCCCAAATATTTCACCTGAGTTTCCCTAAGGCAATTCTCATAAGAGCTGATGAATACCAGAGTTTAAGAACTGTTGGTGTATGCTTTTAAAAAAGGACAAGAAATGGAAACCAGTCAGTCATGACTGGGCACTGGGTAGACACAAAAGGTCGGGGGTCAGCACGAGATGCTCTGCTGTCCTGCCTCAGGGGAACACGGAGGTCCTGCGGGGCCTGGACCCGGCAGGCTGGCACGTGCGTGTCAGAACCTCAGGGTGGGGACAGAGACGCTGTCCCAGCCACGGAAGGAGGGCCCACGAGGCCTTGCTAGTGCCTTGCAGAGAGAGAAAAGCGTGGGGCCCTAAGTTAGACGATAAAAATGTCCAAGGAGAGACAAATGTTTAATGTTCAGTTTGGGTAAAAGACAAAAGACGCTGATTTGGGTGGGGTAGTTCAGAACGAAATATTTGCGTGCACTCTGATGTTCAAAGGTCTTTTTCTTCTTTAAGTGCAAACGGGGCGAGCTAATATAATCAGTTAAAAGGCAGAGGGCAGATCTGGGCATGCAGGTTCAAGTAGCAAAAAACTACCGGTAAATCCTGCTCAGGTAACCCCTCTCCGGGCCGGGAAGGCGAGGAGGAATGAACCACCCGCGTCACGGCTGTGCCGGGCTCGCTTCAGCTGGGGCTCTAGACGCACTTCTCGCACATAAACACCCAGGGGAGAGCGGGGGGAGGGGGGGCGAACGCCCCCAGAGGAGCGCCGCACCCCGACTTCAGCATCATCTGGGTGGGATGGGCCACTCTTGTCCTAACTCAGCTGACAAGATCAGAGGCCACACTGTCATACCCTGGTCAGACTGCGTGCAGCACGTGACAGGCTGTTTGCCTACAGGCCGCTCACAGGCGGCTCCCTTTCCTGGTCCCAGGATGTATGTAATGTGGCCTCAGAAGGCTGCTCGCTTGGTGGTGATGCGTTCCAGCAGCGGGGGGCCCGGGTGTGGTGTAGTTTCTAAATGCCTTAGCAGGATATGCAAAAACAAAAAGAGACAAAACAAAACAAACAAACCCAACCGAGCTCAAAGATGCAGAGGACAGGTGGCTGCCAGAGGAGGGGGTGGGGGAGGGGTTGGAGAGAGAGAAAAGTCATCATCTTTCTAAATACCGCTTTCCTATGAAAGAGAAACGCTGCATCTTCCAAGCTCAGTCACAGGAAGAGAGTAACAGACGCTCCCGTGTCAACTGATTTTCACAGGACGTGCTCAGCTTTGTGTGCGAGTATCTGGAATGCGTGCGGCAGCGGTTTGGGGGGGGTGGGGGCTGGGCAGCCTTTCCCCGCTCGTTCCCTGACTCCGTCCCCTCGCTACCTCCCAGGCGCCTGTGGGAGGGGCTGAGGCTAGGAGTGTGGCTTCTCTGAAAGCCTGGCTGTCCTCTGACTTCCAGGCGGGCCGCTGGCTTCCTCCGAACCACGCAAGGCCGAGGCGGCAGAGTGAAGCCGATTCCAGCCTCCTCAGCCAATGAGCTTGGGTGACCAAGACGTGGCCTTCCGCAGACAGAAGCACTGGTTTCTGAACCCACTGTACATGAAAACTAAAGCACCTAGTCTAACGCGGACTTTTAGTAGGGTAATCGGCTACGTGAAGTTATTTTTGGAAGAAAATACAGATGAAAACATAGGCTCTGGGTCTGCAGGCTCGGGGAGCCATGTGCACCGTGAGAGTCAGCATGACTGCCGTCCTGGTTCCTGTTACAGGCCCGTCATCGCGTGGGCTGCCAAGGGGACACGCCAGCCTGGGAAGTCACGCCTGCATCACAGAAGCTCCTTGTTCAGGGCGGAGGCGAAGCGGCGTGAGCTCCTGCAGTCCTCCCTCGTCCGGCCCGAGGTCTCAGCTCACGGCTGGTCTGGCTCAGCGGCGCGCGGAGAGGCTGCGAGCCATTGGTTTGGTTCAGATTCGCTTTTCTCCCCAGAAGCCACGCGAGGTCCAGGCCGCTCGGACCACGAGCGAGAGCGCAGGCGTGCGCGCCCTCCTAGTCCTAAAACGGCAACAGAAGGAGAGCTTTAAAAACGGGCCTTTTGAATTAAAGCTGCGAAACCGGAACTGTGAAAAGTAATGTGCATAACTTCTACCAGCAACACGCATGACTTTGACCACAGACAGACAAGAAGCTCACGTAATGTTCAAACGCCCAGGTGCCCATGTGCTCCGAGGATAAAATAAAGATTCCCTAACACCTCTGAGCTGCTCGGTATTTGCCAGCAGCACTTAAAAGACGCGCACGTAACCCGTGACACACAACATGCATCAGCAAACAATTCTGCTGGCTTCAACCTCACTTAAACGTGAAAAGCTTGCGTCTGTGTCGCGCTCCTTCAACACATTGGTGGGTAAAGCTCTTGGGAGCCTCAGACTCTCACTTAGAAGGGAGACTATTAATGAACAGGGCCAGTCTTCGTCTGGAATCTAAAACGCGCGTTGCGCTATAGGAGGAAGCTCCCCTACGGGCTCCCTGGGATCCGGCTGGTCCCCGCGAGGTCAAGGCCCTCCGCGGAGTGGGGCCCGGGAGCTGCCCTCATCGCAGAGGACAGCGCCCCCACTGCGCGGCTGCCGGAGACTGTCACCGAATAGGTGAAACCCTCACCTGATGCGCTGGCTCTGCATGAACCTGGGTCCCACTAACGTGGCATTGGTGACGTTATCAAGTGCGCTTACGAAGAGCATTTTCCCCCAGGCCTAAGGAGATGGTGTGAGAGTGGGAACTTCTGAAGTGCCCTGGAAAACCAGAGGCAGTTTCGTCGCACGCATCCATCAAGAGATACAATAACCACATTCACACTGCCGTGGGAGGCAGAATATACTCACTTTGCCAAAAAAGGAAATAGAGATTTCAATAGAATAAAACACTATCATTTCACATCTTTTCTACCATTACTTCCATGGTTTTTTGTTGACACTTACAATGTTGGTTAAAAAAACAAACAAAAAAGACCAAAATGAACTTTTTCTGTGAGGAAAGAGGCTGGCTTCATTCTCCCAAACATCTTCGCAGGTGATGCCCCAAACACCGTATCGGTCTGTTCCCTCCTGGTGGTCGGGGGAGGGATTAAAATGAACCCACAGGCCGCGGAGGCTCTGACGCCTGTTTGCTTTATCCTGAACCCTGACTGTCACCGTCAGACGCTGGGCGGCCTTCACCCACCCACAAGAAAACTGCTGTGTAAAAATACAGCTTTAGGAAACACGTGCATCACACATTAGAAATCTGAGCTTTACAGCAAGTAAAGACCAGGGCGCTGTGACGCAGCCTGCAGCGGACACGCGCAGTGAACCGCGCTGGGCATCTCTGACCGATATGATGCCGTGCGCAAATTGTGTCTCAATACACCAGGGGGAAGAGGGAATGGCTGTCAGCAAACCGAAACTGTAAGTGAATGCCTGGGGAGGAAGGTAAAGGCTTATTTAAAATAAATTAATCAATCACTTAAACAACTGAGGAAGGCTGTCCCAGCTCACACATCTCGCAGGCAGAGGCCCGGGACTCTCCTGACTCACGAATGAGCCCGTGCCCGCGAACCAGGCCGCCGGAACGTGACCCTGAGGAAGCAAAGCCCTTTACTTTGGCTCCTGACGATGAGCCGCTCAAGTCGGATTTTTAGGAGAAGTGAGTATATTCTCCACCTGGACAAGTATAGCCTGCTGAGGGAAGCCTGGATTGCTTTTTGGCACCTAATGGGTTGGAAAACACAGAACCAGCCGAGTTCGCGCCTCGGCTGACCCTGGACCCAGAGCAGAGGGTCCGTGTCCCAAAGATGGGCAGTCACCTCTTCCCGGCTTCATTTTGAAGATAAAGCTTCAGTCACTAAGTTTCCCATGTTCAGAAAACGCAACTGAAGAGAAATGCATTTCAGAATCTGGAAAAGATTATCTCTTAGAATGGGCTCAAAAATATCATTTGCTGTTTTCAATTTTAGGGCAAAAATGGAAGTGATTTACACATTGACAATTTCTTTGCTGAATTCAAAGTGTCTTATTTAGATTTACCAAAATTATGTGATAATTATAACACATCTCAGAAAGCTAACAGAAACCTTTCATTAATAAATTACACTGTACGACTTGAATGTAACACTTTCTCGTTCATTTTATGTGTAATTATAACTTTCTTTCCATAATAGTTTGTGTTGAAAAATACCTTTGTACAGGCCATAATCACCTTGAGAATGCTCTCTGAAAAGGACTTCATGTCATGCCATGCCACTCACACACTAAACTACGTTTCTAAATTTTCACATTCATGTCACTGTGATCGTGGTGCTTATCAACCCTACGTGCGCCTCACCGACAACATAAACCGAAAAAGGGGGAGAATGCGTTGGTTTTCCCGTGACTCAGTGTTGGGATGTTTCCTTCTCTGCATCGCCAGAGTGGAGACAAGCGCAGGACTGAGACCGACACCCGGCTGTTGGCTCGGAGGCCCCGGATTGCGACGGCTGGGGAGGTGGCACAGACATTTGCAAAGGCAAGGTCGCCATCAATGCCAACTGGCTTGATATAAAAGAAACTTCAGCATCTAGTAATGACAATGGAACCCAGGCTAATGCTAAGAGTCCTAAGAGTTTGACTTGGGGGCCCCCGGCCGGGCATCGGGCCGGGATGCCGGGGCCGCGGCGGCGCGTGGGGTTGCCCCGCCCGGGTCTCGCGAGCCCGTCGACGGGCAGCCCCGCGCGGCCGAGCGCTGAGGCCCGCGCCGGCCGGGCTAACTCCGAGGCCCGTCATGGTTGTCGGGGAGGCTCAAAGGAGCGGGGCCCGGAGACGGCCCTTCCCAGCCCGAGGCAGGCAGCCTTCGTCGCTTTTCAGAGATGTTTGTTTTCCCTCCCTTTCCTTCTCTCTCCCTTACCTCCTTCTTTTTGAGAAAACCAACATTTTTTCCTCCAAAGTCAACACTTTTTAATATAATTCCTTATAAAAATGTTTTGTGGTTTTAAGAAAAGGGCGGCAGATTCAGGTCAAACTATAACGCAGGTGCTGCTCTTAGAAGGAACCCATCCCCCTCTGCACTCAGACGCCCACGGGGCCCTGACGTCAGCGCGGGACCCACGCAGGGCCAGCGCGTCCGCGCCCAGGGCCCGGCTGGGGCGGGAGGGACGGCAAACGAGGGCCTGGCTGGCCCTGCGGGGCAGGGGGACGCTGCCCTTCGCCCCCTCGAGCGCGGCCTCTGCCTCCCAGAAGCGCGCGCACTGACAGTGCACCCACAGTGCACGCGCTTAGCGGGGGCCCATATTCATAAACGCCGAGTCCGCCCGCCGAGGCCACCTTGTCGCCTGGAGGACAGAGCAGGCTTGGGGCCCCGGCGTCCCCGAGCGCCGCCCGGTCTGCCTGCGGCCACCGCCTCCACCCCCCCTCCCCCGCCTTATTGTAAACCCTTTGATCTAGAAGGTTCTGATGCGGCATTAAGTCTCAGGTCACAAGTGATGATCTTTTTCCAACCAAGCTGCTCATCGGCCAAAGCAGAGTGACCTAGAAACCACCAGTGGGCGAGAAAGGCAGGGGGAGTTTCGGGAACCAGATGTGGGAGGAAGTGCCTCCGAGCAGCGGGCGCAGGAGGAGCCCAGGGAGAACCAAGGCGAGGCGCCCGCGGCTGCAAGGTGCCCCGAGATGAACTCGGGGAGGAGAGGCGTCGCGGGCGGGGCGCTGGCCAGGGAGCGCGGCCCTGCGGCCCCGCGGCTGGAGCTGGTGGGCGCGCTTCCACGTGGGTTTCTTTCCCAGACCCATGCAAGGTATTGTAAGTGTATTTTCTTAGTAACATTTTCTCTAGCTTAATCGTAAGAATACAATATATGACTAATAAAACATAAATAATATGTGTTAACCTGCCTTCTGTGTTATTGCTAAGGCTTTTCTGGTCAATACAGGGGTGGGCGAAAGTAGGTTTACAGCTGTGAGTATGGGAAACGAAGTTTATTCTTGTATTATTATTTATTGTTTATTTCCCATGCAAACAACTACACGCTTTCTTCTGCCCACCGCGGTAGGACGCTACAGTCGTAGTTAAGACTTGGCAGGGTCAAAGTTATACTTGGATTTTCTAACCATCCTGTGCTGGGAAGGGGGGGCGGGGTTGGGTGCCCATAACTCCCACGTTGCTCAATGTGGACTGCAATTGGATTTACAAAGAAGAATTAAAAAACGGCAGCCAGGTTGGGGGCTCAGTCCCTGGCCAGGGCACATACCAGAGTCAACCAATAGGTGCATGGATAAGTGGAACATCAAATCGATGTTTCTCTCTCTCCCTTCCTCTCTCTCTCTCTAAATAGCAATAAATTTTTAAAAATTTCTTTAAATGCAGCTTCCCTTTATAGCCTTATACATTCCCTGTCAACTTTAAAATATCTTGCAATTTAACGTAAAAGAACTTCTTCTATAACACACAAAGCGTTCAGAAAGACGCCAAACCTCCTGGTCGGGTCCTCCGACAGGTGGTGGTTGGAACACAGCTCCGCCCCCTCTGCCTTCCACGGGGACCCAGCCACCAGCTTACCTGGGCCGGCGTCTGAGTGGTGGGGGCCGGCTGGCGTCTGGTCGCGGCTGTGTCCTGAGCGAGCGCCGGCCCTGCCGGTGAGTTGTATCTAAAGAAATCAGTAGTTTCCGTGCAGTTTTCAGAAGGAGCTTGAACTGCAGCAGCGCCACCAGCCAAACCCTGACTGCTGCCCGAAGCCAAGGGTTCGTTTTCCAGACTGAGCGAGTGAACGTCTTCCGGGAGTTCAGGGTAAGAGTCACAGAAGGAGATGTCATCGCCAGACATGGGATCCCGCATCAGGGGCCATGCGTCGGAAAACTCGCCGCAGATGGAGCGGGAAGGGGACCCGAACAGAGCCGGCACCGTCTCCCCCAGCGGACCTGCGCTTCTGAACACACGTTCGAAAGACCTTACAGTGGCCTTTTGGGACAAAAAACTCTACTGCAAAGCAATGTGAACTATACTTTTAAGTTTTCTAGAGGAAATAGCAATTTATTAAGTCAAAACTAGGTGTTATAAACTGGCTTTAATACAGTAATTCCTCCATTTACTTTGAAACTGAATTAGTAAACCTAATTTTAATCAATGTAGTTATACTTCACACAATGTCTAAAACGTGGTTTCTTGGGTTTTAAATGAATTTCAAGGCTGTTCTAAAGTCTATGAATATATAATATGTCAAAAATTACTTGCAGATGACCGAAGTGCCACAAACCATGACTATAAGACAAAAATAAAATTAACTAAGTGTAACAAATAAAAGAAGTCGCACTGGACATCAGTCACCCCGAGAGACCGACCTGAATCTTGCCGAACACACGCGCCCTCCAACCACAATGTCATTCATGACATTAAAAAGGGGGTTCCCTCATGAAACATTTCCAGGCGTCTTGCATGAACGCTGGTCAACGAGGATAACGCATAACTGCACAAGGGACTATCAGATTCTACTGCGTGAAAGAGGCCCGCTCACCTCTCCTGAAGTGTGGCCTGGGGATGCGCCCTGCACCCGAGGGCCGCCTGGTCGAGGCTGCAGGTGTCATCACAGCACAAGGACGGGATCAGGTGGACGGGCCCTGGGGAAGCCGGCAGAGGTGTGAGGCACGGGCGCCCTGGGCCATGCTCGGTCCTGCCAGCCCACCCTCGCTCCAGGGACTTCAGCGAGCCCCGTTTGGGTAACTTCGCGGGGAAAGGGCATTGGAGGCTTACCTTTTCCCTCTATTTTTATCTTAAAAAAAAAAAGATGAACCACTCACATGATGAACCTGGAGTGGTCCAATTCACGGAGACAGGAAGTCGGGTGGCGGGGGGCAGGGGCTGGGGAGGGGGAGGGGCACGGGGTTTCAGGCTGGGAAGAGGGACAAGTCTCAGAGGTGGCTGGCGGCGATGGTGCGCAGCAGCGCGGGTAGACTCAGTCCACTGGACTGTGCACTTAACAGGTATTGAAGAAAAAATGTAGAAATAGACTAGATACACTTTAAATCTTCCTCAGCCCCATAAACTAGAAATAAACACTGTCAATATTTGGTGAACAGCTTTCTAGACCTCTCTCCCTATATATACATAAACATATAATTCTCATTTGGTAAAACCATAAACATACTAAAGCATACAGCCAAATACAAAGACACACACATATATACAGAGGAAAAGACTTGAAGTGATTGCATATTTACATATGCATATATGTTTGTGTATATTCAAAGTTAACATGAGGATTATCTCTTTTACAAACAGGAAGATGTGAATATGAAACTAATATTTCCTTTTTGGAAAATGCATGTTGTATATTGAGATGCAATTGCACCCAACACACTGTGGCCTGAATCCCTCCCAAAACAGGCCGCGTCTCGGGCGATCTGAGCAGGCACCGCTACGACCGGGGCTCCCCAGTCACAGCCCGGGCGCTCAGCAAACATGTGCCATGCTCACTGTGGAACTTCTCAAAACTATTTAGAAGCAAAAGCCACTGCCATTCTTTATTGAAATGGCTGGTTCTAGGGCCCAATCAGGGGAAGTACAAGGTGAGCCTGGAACTTCTTTTCACACGAGGAAGTAAGAAAGTGCTAAAGGAAAGACGGGACGCGTCAGACGGCTCAGGAGCCAGCCTGGAGGGCGCTGTCGCTGGGCAGGAAGCGGTTTGGGTAGAAACCTGCCTGCACCTGGTGGTAGCGCAGGCAGAGCTCAGTTCGGTGCTCTGTTAAGTGGATGGGAGACAAGGTGGCCTGTGTAGCTCATTTTCTTTTCAGACAGAAGTTCAGGTGAGGCAGAGTTTGCCAAAGCTGTCTTTCCTTGCATTTAAAACTTTATCTCTCAAGAAACTGTCCCCCTCCCCTGACTGCATCAGTGTCCCGGTCGAGTGTCTAGGAGACGGCACTTGGGGCGCTGTGAGGGTCCCCAAGCAGCTGCCGGTGGCTGTCTAAGAGTGGGTGTCTGCGGGGGTACAGGCAGAAAGGGACCCACACACCACAAAAGCCTTACGTTTCCTCCTTAGACCTAGTCCTAGTCCTACAGTAGACTATAGTGATGATCAGTAGAAAAATAATTCTGGTGAAAACTCCTTATTTCACATATAAAATATTAGCTGGAAAAACTGAATCCTGCAATCTCTTGAAAAGAAAGACTGAACAGTTCCAAGTGGGGAAGTCCATCTCCTTGGGACTTGTCGCATGTGAAGAACGAGAGGCCACAGGGCACTGCTGGTGTTGCCTCGAAGCGCTGGGCGGACTGGGAGCGAGGGCCAGGGCAGGCCACCCCGAGTCTGGCTTCGTGAGGAGCCGGGGTCTGGCGGTCGGTCAGGGGAGGGGCGGGGGGCACACGGCGGGGAACCTCGTGTTGCTGAATATAAATAAGCGGCAAAGGAAGTTGGTACGGCCTTTGCCCATTTTTCCTGCATTAGAAACCAACTCCCCTCTGAACGGCTTCCCGAGCTTCCCTTTCCGCCTGCGGTCTGGCAGGTGGTGGCGGTGCGTGGGACTCCCCAGAGCTGCCTCCCCGCTCTGCCCGGAGGCACCGGGGGCAGGAGGGCGGCTTGGTGAACCCGAGGCGTGAAGCCAGCAGGCGGGGGCCGGGGGGCGGTGCACGCTCCCACTCGACTCAAGCTGGGTCGTGTTAGAAATGAACTGACTCAAAACAATGAAGGCAAACCTCAAAAAGTTGCTGAAAACTTCTAGGGTTTCTAATGAGAAGACTGCTTTCTCTTCCATGTTTAAGAGGCATGCCACATGCCACCACAGAGCCTGGTGGAGAACAGTAACTATTCAGCACGACGTGTGTTAAGTGGAAACCAGGCGGAGCAGCCGCCTGGCTGCGGGGCGCCAGGGACAGGTCTCTGCGGCTCTGCCGCCAGCCCCCCCGAGTTCCCCCGAGGGACTTACCGCAGGTGGGGGCCGAATCCCGGTGGCACTGACGGCAGGCTCGGGGGGCGGGCTTGCTGAGCCGAGGTCGGTCAAAGCAGGACAGTTCGGAGCCGCTGTACTGAGAGTCCTGGGCTCTCAGGGACCCTGGAGGAGGGGGACAGTTCCATCAGGGAAGACAGGTGCCTCTGGCAGGACTTCCCTCCCAGCGCTGCGCCACCCCGGCGTGTGGATGGTTGAAGAGAAGGAAGGCTGTTGGTCACATTTAAAAACACCTCTCCTCACACAGAGGCATGGGGATGAGAAAATCTGTTGAGAAAAGCTCAGGATGGAGAGTACTTCTGTTGCCAGGCCTTGGGATGATTTTTATTGTTGCCTGGTGGCCAGGGGACCTCCCTGCCTTTTAGAAAACAGCGGGGCCACCCACCGGTCTGACCCCTCCACGCCCCTCTGGGACCAAGGACCGCGAGGCCCACTATCATGGGCTCTCTGTCCCTTTAAAGGCTCCCCGCCTCCCGTCCCACTCAAGTCCCTGGCGGAACCCGCAGGCGCGCCCAGCGCGGAGAAACAGAGCGGGCGCAGACTCACAGCTGGGCTTCTTCTCCGTCAGCTGCCTCTTGCAGTAGATGGTGCAGAGGGTGAGCAGGGCCAGCAGGACAGCGGCCAGGGCGCTGCAGATGACGGCGGCCAGGGCCGTGTCCCGCGGGCTGGAGGCCGCGGACGGGATCCGCACGAGGTTCACCTTGCTGGTGCCTGCAAACCAGGGCACGGGTCAGCGCCCAGGAGACCCAGGGAGGTCGGGCCCAGCCTCGGCGGTCACCGCAGGCCCTGGCCTTCAGGCTGAGAAATCCGGCCGGGAAACCAGCGGGGGTGGCGGAGCTGGCGCGAGGGCTCCCCCCTCATGGTTTCTTGAATACGACACCTCCTCCCTGAACCCCAAAAGGTGTGGGTATGCCGCGCCCCTGTTCCCACAACACTAGACACTGGATGGCAGGAATGGGCTTCAAGGGCCCCTCGACCAGAACTGTGTATGAAGTCAGGAAGTGGTCATCTTTCTCTCTGTGTGCCCAGTCCTTGGCAACGAGTTTGGCACATAGTAGGTACTTACTATTTATTGGATTGGAATTAAACCAGCTAACTTTTTAAGCAGATGGAACTCAGGCATGCTTTGGAGGAGGGCAACTTCAGGGAAAAACAAGGAGTTGGATTGTTCATGACCTCACACTACGGCCCCCAATTTCTAAGACAGTCAATGCTTTTACATCTTAGCTGATTACGGAATGGGATCTATGTTGTGGAGAAAAGATGGGCACTGCCATTTCGCACGGGGGAGGGCAGGCACGCTGGCAGGTTAAGGAAGCGCCACGGAGGAGGTTCTGCTCCAGAGGACGGCACTGCGTCGTGGCGGAGGGTGAGGCCCTGGGCCCCTCCGGCCCTCGCCTGTTCAGACAAAGGGGCTCCCAGGGCCCGTCTCGTGTGGGTGGAGGGTGAGGCGGGCGACCGCGGAGGCGCAGGAGCAGGCCTGGCCCCGGCGCTGTGCCCTGGAGAGCGCCGCTGGCCCCGGGCCTCTCGGGTCCTGGATGGACAGACTCAGCGCAGGAGGCCCTGCTCGGGGTCACACCGTGTCCTGCCTAACTGGCCTCCAAATAACTTGCGAGGTGGGAACCTAAGTCAGGGCAGCGCCGCCGTCTCTGGCTCGAGTGGCGCGGGGGTGGGGGCCCCCATCTGCTCCCTTAGCTGCTCCAGCTCCTGAGCCACCCCAGCACATGCTGCCCCTGCTGGGGGCTCCTCCGGACCCCAGCTGCCCAGTAGAAGCATGTGCTTCTCACGTACTTTTAAGTGGTCGAGAGTCTACGTTAAAAAAGTTAAAAATAAACAGATGAATTTAATCTATTTCTCTTAACCCAATGTATCTTCAGATATTACCATTTCAATGTGTATTCAACATAAAAATTATTCCTGACATCTTTTGCATTCTCTATTTTGTACAAAAACGTCCGAGCCGGGTGTGACTTCACACGGCCAGCCGCCCCCCCGGCCCGCGCAGGCCACACTGCGAGCGCTCACTGGCTGCGGGGCGCCCGGCCGCCCTGGGGACAGGCGGCTCCAGGGGTCAAGGGCTGGCACGTGTCTCCGTGCAACATGGCGCCACAACCCCAGCCAGCGCGTTAGCCGGCACCTTCTCCCATCCTGGCCGCATGCGACCTGCTCCCCCGCCCCTCCCCGCCCCAAGACTGGCTTCCACTGTGTGACGCTTGAGGCTACAACCAGGCAGAGCCCTTTGGGTTAATGTGATTGCCTTATAAATACAGCAGAAAGGGACTGTCTTGGGACGCTGAATCGTGGCGTTTCCCAGCTCCATGATTCTGGGCCAGCCTGATAAATGTTTCTTATTGCCACCTGGAAAGACAATTATTTATTCAGGATTTATATAACCTGTATGCCTTGGCTAAACAGAATATGTGTTTGTGAACATCGTTAATATAGTTTATCACTTAGAGCTATACTCTATACTCTCAGACATACTGTAATAATCAAAGAGCACATGTTAAATGTTCATTATACATCAAGTTGAAGAGATTATCATACAGCCCTGACTTGATAGAGATTAAGTCTGAAACAGCCTCTACCAGCAAATTCACAAAGGACACAGGAACACAGGTACAGCTGTACGGACACAGACAAACAGGTGAACGACCGGAAATTTACGTCCTATGTCAATAGAACAGCGCGCTTCGTGGAAGGGGAAGCAACTCGGGAAGTGTAAGCATCACCTACGTGGACCACAGGGGAAAGCTGCGGAAACCTGCCGCCCCGTGCGCGCTCGCGAGGAAGGCGGTTTGCCCCGGGGACAGCGGGCCCCGTAGCTTTGCCTCCCCTTCAACGGCCTGGCTCTAGTTGTACCAAAGTGGGGCACCGTACACGGTGCGAGTTGAAGATACCAAAGCGTCTAATCGTGTGGTAACTACCAAGTTAAGGACCATCAATTAACGTGGCATTGGACGTTCAGAAAGACCCCACTACGAACAGCAGTTTCCGGCTAATGATTGGAGTCCTGTAAGTTCTTGTTTGCAAACTTTGTCTCCATACCAGAAGAACTGCTTCTGACCTACAAATAAACTGAAAAGCCCCCCATGGGAATTTTATTTTTCATTTGATGGTTGTGGTTCAGGATTTATTTTCCCCAAGCCAGTCATAAAAGAGAGAAAACTAACACGCTAATGGTGATAATGTAGAGTTGACACAACACCACCAACTTCAAAGGAAGTGAGCCCCTTCGCTCTGTACCTCCCCGGGCGGCGCGTCTGCAGATGAACAAGAAAAATGCCCTGGTTTTACCACTCAGTTTTGGGCACCTCGTTGACTCGCACACGCCCTCAGGGAGGCCCGTGGGAAGTCGGGCCCCGCGAGCCACATGCTTGACTCTTGTTCGTAGGCGTATGTTTATGACGCAGCCAATGTCATCTTTTTTGTAGGACACGGGCTCATCATTCTTAGGGTCACTCATCACAAACAGCAATGCAACCCTGAAGTGGAGGCCATGGGAGACCAGCTCCCATTTGATTTTGGAACAGCCCTGGAAACTTAGTCACTTACATTCCTGCTAGAAGCCCACTTTCTTTTTGACATGAGCAGGGAAAAAAAAAAGTAGGGGAGGAGGTTGGTTCTAATCACAATAATGAGGAGGCTTCTACCCTTCTCTATTAAGTTCTTGCTCGCTGAGGTGCTACTGAGGACTCCTCAGGAAAGGATTTACCTGCTACAAGCTACGGAGCGTTGTTCTGCTGGCCTGTAGCTGCAGCAATGACATTGAGATTAAAGAGTCTTCCTGCCCACAGGCCTCGGCTAAATTCTCTGCCCATAGCTCACCAAGCACGTCAAGCGTCTGCAAGGAATTTCCCCCAAACCTCGTTAGGGTGCTGACCGTGCTCCTGAAGGACTGGGAATGGGAACGCTCACATTCTTCGGAAAGTTTTAACTTGTCTGGACTACGAAGGCCTCTCTCACCCTAACCAATTAACTTATTAAATTCCTCTGTGGTCTTAGTGCTGCCCTTTGGCAATTTACCTTAGTGAGAACTGTTTTCTTAGCTTACATTTCACATCACATTGCATGCATGACATAGGTCCAGTGTTATATTCTACATTTCCTTAGTTCTGCTCAACTGAACATGAGGTGACCGCGTATCTGCTGTACATAAGGCAATAAGGCAGGAAGGCATCCTACACGTTGGATGAGAATCTGAACAGGACAAGAAAAGAGGCGGAGGCCGCGGGAGACACATGGGGTGCAGCGATCTGTGTGGTCGGACTCTGACGAGTCACGAAGAGCCGTAGAGGAGGAGCGTGTCTGCAGGCCCCGGTGGACTTCCGCGGGGACGCAGGCTCCCGCAGACCTCAGGGGGCCCTCGTGCACCCGGGCGCCGCCAACGCGCCCTCCTGCCAACCTGGCGAGGCCGCGAGTGCAGGAGGAGAAAGCCGGGGCTTCGGGTGGCGTGCGCGGCGGCAGAGCCAGCTGGAGAGCCGGAGCCGGGCCTCTGCTCCCTTCCAGGGGCCCTAGTGTCCCGGGGTGCCCGCAGCTTCCAAGAGGGTAAAATACTCTGTGAGAGAAGAAGCAAAACTTGGCCCAAGGCTGTGTCTGCGGAGGCCTGGCCGAGGCCCGCGGGGAGAGACCAGCCGGGCCGCAGAGGTGCTGTGTGTGCGGGTGCGAGCCGGCTCCACCCGCTGCCCCTGCCCCGGGAGCGCGGCGCCCCTGCCACCGTGTGGGCCTCGGTGTCACCAAGCGCGCCGCCCCGAGCAATGACAGAGCGTCCTGAGGCGAGGCGGAGGGGGGCGACGGACAGAGGTGACTGAATGGGGAAGGGCCGATCAGGGAGAGATGGAAAGGATTCGCAAAGATGGCTGCTGGCGGGCGGCTCCTCTGCACTCTGCCTGGGTTCCAGGACCCCCTCCTTCGTGTGGGCTGAGCTCTGCTTTTTGCTGACCTCCCCGCCTGCTTACCTGCTCCAACCTCCAGCCTCCTAGCGGGCTGTGTTTGAACACCCGCCAAACCAATGGCCCTTCTTCCCAAAGCACGTTCCTGACAGAGGCCTGTTCGGGAAGGCCTGGCTTGGGAGGAGGAGAACAGGCCTCCAAAGTCTGGCTTGCGCCCTTTCCTCCCGCGCGTGAACAAGACTTTCCACCTCCGAATCTCACTGTCCTATTGCCTATCTACGTGGCGCTGCTGAGGTGGCATTTGGGTATCTGAACGGGGGAAAGGAAGGTTGGAATTGGAGATGAAGATTTGGAAATCATGAGCGCAAAATGTCCAAGCCAGGGGACTGCTGGTTGCCGACGGGTACAGCGTAGATAAAGGAGGGGGCCTAGGACAGACCCCGGGCGCACGGGGACACGCGGCCCCGAGGCGCGGGCAGACTCGTAGCCGCAGCATCAAGGGGCCCCAGAGAGTAACCCGTGGAAGCTGCAGGGGACGAGTTCTCCCGATGCTTCAATAACGAGGCCGCCTCAGGCTGCCTTATGCTGGGGGTCAGGCACAGAAGGCACGTTTCAGCGCCGCCGAGGAAAGCTAAAGGCTGAGTGACCTTGCCCCTCGTAGCTGCGTGCAGATTGATTGTTGAATAAATCTTTGAATTAAATTTAAACCAAAATGTCATTTTGAAATGTGATGTCACAAAGAGAAGAGGAGCCAAGCTCAGTGGGAGTTTGTAACAAATAGTAAACATGACAATCAAGATTCCATTACTTAATAGCAAG